TATATATACCTATATATAATTATTATTTTTCAAATTACAACCCTCTTAATTACATTATATGATGCAACAAAATGAAGTAGTATGTGGTTCGAGAATTACACTAACAAAATACTAAATTACAATTTAGTTCAAAAAATTATCGGTACCTGTTAAATTGATGAAGTAACTTGTAACTAGCAGTATCTTATGCGATACATAGGCCTACCGTTATAAATGCTGCATCTGTTCCCTGAGTAACCAGTGGGACAATTACATGTATATGTATCTTGGTTGGTATAGGATGTACAGATGTATCCTAATTTGAAGTCCAAAATTAAATAAATTCCAAAAGCACCCGTCAAATGGCCCCTACCCAAATTCTCTCTGGAACCACCCCTTTATTCTTGTTTAGTGTGATAGGTTGTTGAGTTCTTAATTGTTGCTGCTAAATGTTATTGTAGCACGATATTGTTGGGGGAGACACCGGGTGGTCAGATTTTTCCACCTGGACCACGTAACAGTAAGTTTTGGATTGTCTCTAAATAAGACATGGTTTTAAATCCCGGGGTTTATTTTCCTCTTGGTTGGACCCTAGTGTTCATTTTTTCTCTCTTGTATTTCCCACTCTAAATGTCAATATTCAGTATTCTACGAATTGATTGATATCCTGTTCCCCCTCCCTAACCTCAGCTGGAACCTCCACTGGATAAAATCCTCTGTTGTTCCTTATTCTCCAAGCCAGCGCCATACACTTAATCCTGTAGCCCAAAACTTAACATTCGTCAGGAAATCAGCCCCAAGCCTCATGCCAATAACATTATACAGAACACGGTCGACACTAACATTCCATAACATTAATATTATTAAAAACATAGAAATATATTCAGCAGATTTTGCTACAGTTTGCTATCTGATTAGCCAGCACGACAGGTACTGTTAAGATGTAATTGTGGTAAACACATGTATCCTGTAGGGCATGGAGCGTGTGTCTACTGCCAAAATGTAATAGAAGCGGTGATGTCGAAAGTGATTAATGAATTAATAGTATTATTAATAATAGTTTTTGTTGCAACTCCAAAATCACCGAGTTATGGTAGAAAAAACAACGTAAAAAACCACAAGGAAAACAGTCTCGACCTGAGTTCAACTGTAGATCCGTTTAACCACTTCTACTCGATTTAATTTTAACTTCCAATTTTCGGAACTGTGCGCCTGATAGATAATGACGAATTGGTTAGCAATACATCGTACCACACACGACCGAGTTTACGGGTAGTAGAGTAGTAAAATCACGTCATATCACACATCACGAGTGTGACATAATGTCAACATTACACTTCCGGATTCTTACTTCACACTTTTGTGGATGTCAACTCATGCTCACAATGTTAACTTTACGCTTCTGGATTGACCAGGATAGCAAAGTGTCTACTGCCTGAGGGATAATTATTATTTCAAAACTCATCAATAGAATAGTTATCATCATAGGTGTCTGTGAGAATTAGTTTAAATTCCTCATAGGTACAGGTGTATCTATCTGGGTTGGTATACGATGTACAGATGTATCCTGTATGGCACGGGTTACTCATGCATCCTGAAATAACAAATTATATATTTCCCCTGGACAGTATCTCCAACTTTCCTCTTCTAACGTTTGTCTAGTCCTACTTCTCTTTTTCTTTTCCCAACATTTTGCACCTCTGGCACGTTCTCATCTTCGCAAGAAACCCTCCAATGATTTCTGCTAATCTCAATCGGCAAATCGCCAACAAGCGTATAACACCAACAATAATTTTTATCTGCTGTTGTGTAACTACTCACAGCATTCATGTCATGAGCTATGTTCTCTGGACGGTTATCTTTTCTATACACCAGATCCATTCGTTTATTCGGTTTCCAAATGTCCTTATCTTTTTTCATTCAAGAAGCACCCCTTCAATTTCCCACATGTTCCAATACCAACCCCCGTTTGAATAAGCACCCTATTTGAATAAGCGCCCCTCAAAAAGTGAAGAAAAAAAAATAAATAAGCGCCTGGGCACTTATTTGCGGAAGTATGGATTACAATAATTTATATAACATCATATTTCATCTGTTCACAGTTGCCGCCAATGTAGTGAGTAGGACAGGTACAGGTGTAGCTGTTGGTATACAGTGTACATTGTCATTGTACGTGAGGATTTATTAAATGCTCATACCATCATAAATGCTACAGTCACTGCCAGTGTAGCCAGTAGGACAGGTACAGGTGTAGCTGTTGGTAGATGATGTACATTGTCCTGTGTGACACGGATTACTCGCACAACCTAAAATGACAAATTATTTGATATGCTGCATTACAATACTTTATATAAAATCATATTTCATTTGTTATTCCGAAACATTTCATTGAAATAATTATTATTAACTGTAAATTTATTAAATGCTCATACCATCATAGATGCTACAGTCGCTCCCAGTAAAGCCAGTGTGGCAGGAGGTACAGGTGTAGAAGCTGGTGTACTGTGTACACATTTGCCCTGTAGGACACGGATTACTCGCACAACCTAAAATGACAGATGATTTAATCTATTACGATAATAATGAAAAAAATATTTAATCATTGAGATGTTATAGTGCCTATAACAACTCCCTGATTTAATTTAGTATTTCAAAACTCACCATTAAAATAGTAATTATTACCGTACGTGAGAATTCGTAAATGCTCATACCATCATAAATGCTACAGTCACTGCCAGTGTAGCCAGTAGGACAGGTACAGGTGTAGCTGTTGGTAGATGATGTACATTGTCCTGTGTGACACGGATTACTCGCACAACCTAATATGACAAATTATTTGATATGCTGCATTACAATACTTTATATAAAATTATATTTTATTGTTATTCCGAAACATTTCATTGAAATAATTATTATTAACTGTGAATTTATTAAATGCTCATACCATCATAGATGCTACAGTCGCTCCCAGTAAAGCCAGTGTGGCAGGAGGTACAGGTGTAGAAGCTGGTGTACTGTGTACACATTTGCCCTGTAGGACACGGATTACTCGCACAACCTAAAATGACAGATGATTTAATCTATTACGATAATAATGAAAAAAATATTTATTCATTGAGATGTTATAGTGCCTATAACAACTCCCTGATTTAATTTAGTATTTCAAAACTCACCATTAAAATAGTAATTATTACCGTACGTGAGAATTCGTAAATGCTCATACCATCATAAATGCTACAGTCGCTGCCAGTGTAGCCAGTAGGACAGGTACAGGTGTAGCTGTTGGTAGATGATGTACATTGTCCTGTGTTACACGGATTACTCGCACAACCTAATATGACAAATTATTTGATATGCTGCATTACAAGACTTTATATAAAATTATATTTTATTGTTATTCCGAACCTTTTCATTGAAATAATAATTATTATTATTAACTGTGAATTTACTAAATGCTCATAACATCATAGACGCTACAGTCGCTCCCATTAAAACCAGTGTGGCAGGTACTATGGCAAGCCGTTTTATCATATACCTCTGAATTAGTGTTTAGTGCAAATTGCATTCAACTTAACATTAAATGTATTCCAGTTAACTGCAATTGAATTGTGTTAAGTGTTGTTAAGCAATTGAGGTTAAATTAAAATGCATTTAAGTTAACACTAATTCAATCGAATACAATTAATGTTAAGTTGAATGCATTTCACTTAACACTAATTCAATTACAGTTACCTTGAATACAATTCAATGTTAAGTTGAATGCATTACACTTAACGCTAATTCAATTGCAGTTAACTCGAATATAATTAATGTTAAGTGGAATGCATTTCCACTTAACACTAATTGACCAAATTTGGTATTTAATTGAGTGATTGTGATTGGCTATTGTATCAAAATACAGCATTTCATGAAACTGACCAATTGCATTACACTTAACACTAATTCAATTTAAGTAAATTCGAATACAATTAATGTTACTTAACACTAATCCAATTACAGTTACATTACACTTAACACTAATTCAATTGCAGTTAACTTGGATACAATTCAATGTTAAGTTGAATGTATTATACTTAACACTAATTCAATTGCAGTTAACAAGAATACATTTAATGTTAAGTTGAATGCATTTGCACTTAACACTAATTCAATTCCAGTTAACTCGAAATGCATTTAATGTTAAGTTGAATGCATTTCCACTCAATACTAATTCAATTGCACTTAACACTAATGCATTTAATGTTAAAATGAATGCATTTACCACTAATTCAATTGCACTTAACACTAATGCATTTAATGTTAAGTTGAATGCATTTCCACTTAACACTAATTGACCAAATTTGGTATTCCATTGAGTGATTGTGATTGGCTATTGTATCAAAATACAGCTTTTCATGAAACTGACCAATCACATTACACTTAACACTAATTCAATTTTAGTTAATTCGAATACAATTAATGTTACTTAACACTAATACAATTACAGTTACATTACACTTAACACTAACTCAATTGCAGTTAACTTGAATACAATTCCTATAGCCCTCTGAACTAATTATTGTCCCAAAAAACCGTACTTTCGTACTACTGTACATAGTAAAAGTTTTTTATCTAACTCTAGCGAAAATAATTTGTTTGGTGGGTCCTCGATATCAGAAGCTTAGCCCCAGTGGCGTATCTACGGGGGGAACGGGAAGCGCACGCACCAATTAAGAGAAGGGTGATGATCTACCTGTCTCTTATACACATCTAGATGTGTATAAGAGACAGCAATTAAGCTGGTCTTCTTGAACAAAATTTTCTTTTAAGATGGGGAAATAAGGTTAAATGATAGACAACATTTAATTCGGACATTGAAAAAATGAGGTCAATGATAGACCACACTTGAATCGGACATTGTCAAATGAGGTCATTTTGAATGACGTGACAATTTCCATTGATATGATTGGATGCGTCTTTTTTCGTCACGACTCGCCGCAAAAAAGTTTAAACTTGTCGAACTCACTTTTGGTCACGAAAAATATTGGCAACCAGCTAGAGCGATGTAGCGAAAATGACATTTGATGCAAAAAAAAAACAACTGCACACGCGTACATATTAAAAGAAAAAAAATCGCGTAGTTTTTTTTTTTTAAATTGGTTTAATCCATTTATCTTAGGCATTCTATATATATACCGGTACACAGGGGACCCGAAAAGGGGCACTTACTAAAATGGAAAGGCTCGGCACCTTGACCTCTGATGATTAGTGCTCAAAAACTTAATACAAACTCGTAAAAACAATGCCATTATCATTATTATATAATTTTCGGTACAATTCTGAGCCGCTCCGGATCATGTTACTTTTCTTCTTTCTGTATTCTTTAGAGTAAAAAATATCTTTAACACGAACATTATATTTACCTTATTATTTTTGCCTCTAGACCAGACTATACAGATGCAATATGACCATTTGTTTCACATTTAAAATGTTTTATAAATAGAACTTCATATTATGATATTATGCCTTAACTATATTAAATCTATATACAACTAATAGATAATTTTATTTAATTCGTTAACATACTGTTCTTATTAAAACAATATTTTATAATATAAATATATATTTAAATTATATATATATGGATCCACCTCTGGTTGAGGCTGAGGTAAGATAATTGTAATTTGAGACATTTAAATGAACAAAAATGACACTTTAATACATAAAATCTACGGCAATTACCTATATCTACTTGGAGCCCCATATGGTTAAATCTGATGTGAGAAAGGTTTAAGAGATTGGGACTTCTAGATGCCGGAAAATGGCATTTTAATACTTTAAAAAGGGCCACTTTTTTCAACATTTGAAAGGGGGGGGGGTGCTCAGGTACTCCCTGGATACGCAGCTGTTTCCCCATCTGCGTGCATGAAGTTTAACCGTGTTTTGGACCGTACGTGTTACACTAGAGAAGGTACAAGGATTTCCGGTGCCCTATCTAGGAAACACATGTGTACTAAACTTCCTTGTAAAGGACTAATTTCACATCCTTGATAGCTGTTGTCATTCTCTTGATAATACCGTCGAATATAATTTAGTTCTCTCTCAAGACGAGTGATTACAAACTCATGCTCATACACAATATGAATCCTTCCTACATTTCCAATCATAGCTATTTGTTGCTACCGTCAATGTTCTGACACGAAACACAATAGAGATATCTCTATTATTAATAGACTATATATCCCTATTATTAATAGAGATAGTTCTATTGTCGCTGTAAATAGAGATATCTCTATTATTAATAGAGGATTCTCTATTATTAATAATTTCGATTAAATGTTATCTCGGCCCGCCATACACAACCTTAGACGAAAAATATTTGATATGCTGCATTGCAATAATTTAGTTAAAATCTTATTTCATTCATTACTTCCAAACTCGTCATTGAAATCATTATTATACATACAACCTAAAATTATACAGAATTTATTAATTTTTCATAAATTATTTAACAATTCAGTATGGTTTTGTTTAACAATTAAGAGAAGGGTGATGATCTACTGTATTAAATACTTACAAGAAAATATCTTTGATTCATATTATATATTGTTATATGTTTACATTATGTGTTTTATATTATTGTTTACGATGCTATTATATACAGTTGCTGTTTATGTAGCCAGTCTGACAGACATACATGTATGAGATAAATGAAGTTCGACATGAAAGACTTTTTACTTTTTAGATATTTGAAATTATATTTACATCAGTTAAGCCTGCTAGCCTAAATGGTCAGCTTAAAATTGGTTGTGATGATGTTTTTTTCTCCAAAAACCTGACCAGTTATCGTACTTAATGTTCAGTACGTTACCAATTACTTGCGAAAAATTGAATTGATGCCCACGACCTTCAGAATGCGTCTTAACCACTCGACACTGAGTTTACATAAATTATAGTTCATTCTTTTATTTTTGTAAAAAAAAGTGTAAAACATGTTGATCCCAAAGTAGATTCCGATGGTTTTGCGTCAGGAAATTAGTGACGTATTATCGTAGGTCTACGTTCCTAAATACCTCTCTGGTGATTCGGATGGGAATCCTATCAACGGCCTCCAGATATTTAGCCTGTTATCTTAACCATTAGTTTATTAAGCTATGCCCCACCCCTCACAACATAAATTATAAGTCTTTTAATTGCTCCTTTTGTTCACTTTTTTATTTATGAAGTCATTGTTTTGTAAGGTACGGTAAGTGGTTTCAGACATTTTCTCAACGCAAATTACACAAATTATAGTTCATTCTTTTATTCTTTAATAAATAAATATGTTAAAATATTATAAAAACAGACATTTTTTTAAATTTTGAACACTGTATTTTTGTGAAGCCGGGTGGTTGAGGATCACATGCTAACGGTTCGCTTTTGAGATTCTGTCCAACCTCCCGGTGGATTATATTGTGCCGTTTTAGCAATAAAAAAGAAAAAATAATTAATGAAAAATAATGTACAGTAATTAAGGACCGTTACGTCAATAAGTAAATAAAAGTGTTTTAAATATTAAGATTACAAATTAGTAGTAGTAGTACCATTACCACTGACATCTAGTCAATGGCTCTCAATAACAAATCTAATTTCAGTGGCAAAATTTAACAACAAATTTATTATTAATGATATTAGCGTTAAAGAATTTACAAGTTTTCATACCGTTATTGGTGGCACAGGTGTATCTAGTTGGGTTGGTATACCAGGTGCATGTTGATGGTCCTCCTGGACACGGGTTGCTGTAGCATGCTGTAATATAAAATGTGTGGATAAAAGAAGGTATACACGTCTGAGTAATCTCAGTAAATATTATTATTTTCGTTTGTGTTGTCATCAATGTCATTGGACAAATTGATAATTTCCTAACAGTTGTCAGGACAAAAAAAATCTCATTCAAATGGTTTGGACATATCCACAGGCAGAGTGGCACTTTATGCAATTTAATCAATCTTGCAGAGTTTTGAAAATGGCAAACAGAATCAAGGAAGACCAACGAAAAACTGGAAGAAAAAAAAAACAAAATCGCTGAATGGACAAAAATGAGTGCTGTGGAAGTTGGAAGGACAACCGAAAACAAGCAAAAGTGGATTGAATCTGAAAGTTGCATCTAAAGTGCTAACACTAGCCAACAGGTTATGGAACTGATGATGATGATAAATGTACATGAAATAATGGAAGAATGTACAAAACGTGAATTCATGTTGGTACAGGTGCAAGTTGACTTTATATGATATGGATTGCTAGAACAAATTACGAATCAAAATTAAACTAATTTTTATTGATACATTTAATAACTATTTAGAAGTTGGAAGGATAATTGAAAACAAAAAAAAAAGTGGATTGAGTCTGGAAAGTTGCATCTGAAGTGCTCCCACTAGCCAACAGGTTATGGAACTGACGATGATGATGAATATACTTGAAATAATGGAGGAATGTACAGAACGTGAATTCATGTTGTTACACTAGGTGCAAGTTGATTTTATATGACATGAGTTGCTAGAACAGATTACGATTTAAAATTAAACTACTTTTTTTTAATACATTTAATAACTTTTTAAATGTTTCAATAGTAGATTTAAGTTAATCCATACCTAATTAAATATAAAATAGCTTAGAATATGCAAAACCATATAAGTAGTAATTCGATGGAATAATCTAAAAAGCTAAATCAGTATTAGTAAAGTTGTTCTCGTTTATAAAGATACAACAATATTTACATAATCATATTTATTTATAAACTAATATTTTCATAAATACATGTAACATATATTTCAAAAGAAGTGGAAAAGAGTGAAAATATTCCAGCAAATTATTCCAGTTTGGAATAATTATTATTACTAGTAATTAATAATTATTCTAGCAACGAAATGATAAAGTTTTTGTGACGATCCGGAGTAGGGTGTAATGAGGAGTATTTAAAGGAAAACTTCCCAGACCAAATATTTCAAAAACGGATCAACTGATCTGAATGTAACACTTGGGAAAGTTTAACCAAGTTACAAGTTATATATTATACATATAATGTAACAAAATTACCGTAACGTAAATTACGCAGTAACAGCACTTTTGGGTAATATGTTATAGTAAATTTATGGGACAGCCCTGAAATACTTAGTGATTGGTCAAGGGACAAGTTTTGATGTAGGCCTACGGCCAGGTAGGAGGCCGCCGAGGCCTCCTCCTACTACTACAGACCGTAGCCTAGCCTACGAAATCATCGCACGATTTTACCTGTCTGCCATGCACCGACCAAAAAAGTCAGTGACTGTATTCTCTCTCGAATGCTGAAATGTTTATTTCTTTGACGAAAGTCTATCAAATAGCATTACAAACACATTCTTTGTAACACAATAAAAATTACAATAGTTATTCATCGTATCTGTACTGTACTCCTTCAGTTCACAGTCATCATGCAGTAATTACCAATCACTATGCAGTCATTACCAATCGTTATGCAGTACTTACCAATCGTTATGCAGTACAGACCAATCGTTATGCAGTACTTACCAATCACTATGCAGTAGTTACCAATCACTATGCAGTACTTACCAAACAATATGCAGTATTTACCAATCACTATGCAGTACTTACCAATCACTATGCAGTACTTACCAATTACAATGCAGTAGAATATTGCGCAATTTATACCGCCACCTATTGACAACATTTGATTATCACGTGACGTTTATTAGACGGCTGTAAAAGCAAGTCTATTCAAACTTTCATTAGTTACGCAAACTCAGTGTAATACTACTATAGATGTTGTTTCTTGGGTGTCTATAAAACGAAGACCGAAGACCGACGACCCAAAAACGAAGATCCCTATTTTTTCTCTTTCATTTTGATGATAATACGCCAGGCTCTCACAAAATCAAAACTTCGAAATGTTTTGGGCGTCTGTTTGTGAAATTTTCAAGGGGTTTCGTTCTATAGACACCCTATATGGGTGTCTGTAAAACGAAAACCGAATACCTGAGAAACGAAGACCTTCAATTATTTCACAGTTATCTTATTGAAAATATTTCAATATCATCATAAAACAGTTGCCTTGTACCTATTTCATTATTTTATCACGATTGAGAGAAAAAATTTGGGTCTTTGTTTTTCGGGTCTTCGGTCTTCGTTTTGTAGTTCTACACCCATATAAGGTGTCTATAAAACGAAGGCCCTTAATTATCTCATCCATCCTATGTTGGTGTCATTACCAAATGACCGATGCTGCAGCCTTGCAGGTCCTCATGAAATTGTTTTCAAGCATTAAATCTAACCTTGTACAATAATTTTCCTATAGTGTACTATGAGGAAATCTACTAATTGCTTATTATTGCACATAATATTCATACTTGACAATACTTTGATTAGTATAACAATTTTAAGCATTATGGCTATCGTTCTGTGATATTAAGAAAAGGAATACATTCACGTGAATTTTTTTGCTTTTAAAAGATAATTGATAGCACAGCAATTAACTACTCAAACTAATGTTCACAATAATTATTACCGTCATATACGTCACAGTTTTCGCCTAAGTAACCATCAGGACAGGAACATCTATATGTATTAGAGCCAGTTGACTGTCTGCAGCTGTAGCCAGTACGACAAGGATTATTAGTACATACTGTAATGATGATAAAATGAATGATAATTAAACCTTTTAAATAAAAAATAGGTTCGCCTTCACAATATATCAGGAAAACACATCATAAAAAGGGGTGTAAAAATAAGGTATATCGTATTTTTCCACATTCCGTCAGAATAGTAGCAATATATAACGCAGTCGCCTACTGACTGGTCAAGTTTTGACAACTCATCGAGGAACACCCATTGTATACCACAATACAAGTTTACATAGACTTTTACCAATCTATTTTTATATTATATTTTTATACTATAAATTTCTTCACAATTATGATTCGTATTCATTTAGCGAGTACATAGCATTTTCAGGGCTCGACTTTTTGCTAGCCCGGGGTACAATGGCAAGTAAAAACGAGTTTTTTGTTTTGTTTTGATTTTTTGTTTTTGTTTGTTTGTGTGTGTGCGTGCGTGTGTGTGTGTGTGTGTGTGTGTGTGTGTGTGTGTGTGTGAGGAAGTAACCACATAGCCACTGCAGGTATCTAAAATTGGATCCACTGGAGCACAGATTATTTAATAAATAATAATAATAGCAGCAGCAGCATGTTATTCAAATAGCACCTTTCTTTTAGTTCGCAATCTAAATATTTAAACAGGTATTCCTAAAAAAAAAAAAAAATCACACCAGGCCCCCTCCCGTCCCCCATTGAAGATACCTTAGATTCTCGAATAAACGCCGCTCTAAAAAATAAGCGCCGCGCCAAACCTGATTTTTTTTTCGCTAAGCGCCGCTCTCGAATAAGCGCCGGAGCGCTTAATCAATCGTTTTTATTACCCTGTGTGTAAACAAAGACTTTGACAAACAGGGTTTAAATACAATGTATACAGTATTAAAATGAATAAATAACACAATGAAGACACAAGCATTTCTTTATAGACGTTTGTAAGTTCTAAAAGTTCTTTTTGGTGATCCAAAGCATTGCAATATAATTTTTTCGTACAATTTTTAAATACCCAACATATTTTTCTATATTATACATAAATTGATTTTACTATCTACTTCATATTTCTTCTTTTTGCAATAATTAGTTTTATTTTTCCCATGGTTGAATTATATTTCTTCTTATCAATTTACTACTTTTTATTTTTGTTTAATAGAATATTTTGTAAATAGCATTCAGTTTTCCATATTTTTTTTTTTTTCCAGTTTTTTTTTTTTTTTTGGTAATTGTTTGTACACAGGTCCCTCATCACAATATGCAGTCTTTTAACGCCAACATAATGTCAATGTCTGCCGAATGTCTGAAATCAAACGGCTACAAGTACCAGTACCAGTTTACTTATAATAATTATGATCTTGTATGCATTTTATAATTTAATAACTTAATAATTTTGTATTTTCATTTTTATTTTCATATTAATATATTTTTTATAGGCCTAATCATCGTAATTTTATGAGCAATGACTTTTCTTCAATGTAATTTTCTTTTGGACAAATTAAAACTTCAGTTTTATCAACGTTATAACAGTGAAGTCTTACTTGTATATTCTTGGCACATTTTCTCTGTGAATCCTGTACAGTCACATTGATACGCAGCTGGTATTGTGAATGCATTGCATGATAATGGCTTGGAACAGGGATTGTTTGAACAAGCTTAAAAAAATATAGGACACTATAATTATAAGTTGTATTTGTTTACCATTGTGATTACAATAGTGTATATGACTAGATGAGATCATAATTTAGTTAAATCTCGAATAAAGTCAGTAGTAAATGTCATTTGGGAATAAGACTATATCAACTTATAAAGTGGTTGTGTAACTTTGCTTAACTGCTGAAATGTGGAATACAGATTTGTACTACTGTACTGGTAACTTCTTCATGTGGGTTCATTTTAGCATCATTTGTTTGCATGGTAGGCGTTGATCGGGAGAAAATTATTACGATTTCTCTTACGATTATAAAGTTGGCAGCTCATAACACTGGCGTAAAAAATATTAGGACAAGTACACGTGTAAGTGTCACCACTCGCAGTGCATATACTGCCACCTGGACACGGATTTGGATCACAACCTATTTGAAAGAAAATTTATATCACATTCTGTCATGTCATTTCTTCTGCTTAGGTGTAAATGCATCTTATTAAATAAGCCTGTCAAAGATTACTTCATTCTACTTTATTATTAACGTCACATCCAGTTCTGGTCAGCCATATCTGGCTATGTAAGGGACAAAGTACATTATAATTCGTGACAGCACAAGACAAAAAAATATTTAAAGAGAAAATAAAAACCGACCAGATTCTAAAATACTGTGGTCAAATTTGGCAATACAAATATATTTGAATCAAAATATCAATGTTTGTAGAATTAAAACATTATTTTGCGCTCATATGAACACATATTGGACAACTATTATATGCATACGTGTTTACAGTAAACATACTAGTGAATATAAACAAGAAGAATAAGTAATATAATCAAACAAATATACCTTGACAGTATGCAGGTCTAATGCTGTAAATTAATAGAACAACTCGTGTAATATTAATAAATTGCCACATCCTCCAACGCTTCACCAGAAACATTCATCACCATTTAACACAATTTTCATAATACACAAGTAATTTCATTACTTTTAGCAAAACATAAATATTTGCAAGTTACTTCCTTGTAGAACAAGTCTATTATATTTATATTACGTTTTTGTCAACTGGTTCGTGTTTTGTATTAAATCGTTGACCTGCATCACAGCTACAAGCCATCCTCGGGTACAATGTCATTCGACCACAAGAGGGCTCAGTAAACTGGGGTAGTTAAATCCACAATACAAACTAAATATTTCCCATAACGACAGAATTATATGCACTCTTCAATGCTATTCTCACTTTAGTTATCTCATATCATTGTTTTTAGCTGTTTATAAATGCTTTAAGAGTGATCCTGACTGTGTTACCGAGGACTGGTGTACGGTATATTGTGAGACCTGATGATACCGATAATACTAACCACAATATCATCTTATCACTATTATAAACATTATTTCATATAGTAGACCCTCTTCTATTCAGGAGAGGGGACACCCCTTCAATAACACTTCAGTGAAACGAGTGAAATAATGTCATTGCAGCAGGCCCCTATTAAGGCGACGGAGCTTTCTGAGTAATCAGATTGTCAAATCGCTGCAAATACAATAGACTAAAAACAACAATTTTTTATTTAAATTTTTATTTTATGTAACATCAAGCCAATATTGGTTTTCTTGAGCATTGAAATGGACATCTTTCAGTAATATTATAAGTTTGGTTTTTTGTTTTTACTTTTTTTTTCACAAGTAAAATACTCAATAGCTATTTTGTTTTTATCAGTAAGATACTTTATTTAATATTCAATGCACTTAATTCTATTTCCAGCTTCGATATTTTAATGATTTATTATAATTGTGCGTCTAGAATCAAATGAAATACCTAAGTTTTTTATAAGCATATTTATAGCGATATTGTTTGAAGTACACTATTCTAAGAACTACTTTAATGATTCGCTACCGGTATATTTCTGTTGAGTTTTTTTTTTTCAGTATCAAGGTAATGATGACATTATCGTCGACTTACACGTTAAATTACAGTAATTAAAGTTTAATGTAAAATCATATTTGTAAATGCTAATGAAATTCAGAGAATAGGACACTCACTATGTTATTCGTATTATTATTATTATTATTATTATTATTATTATTATTATTATTATTATTATTATTATTATTATTATTATTAGTGTAGTAGTAGTAGTAGTATGTAGTGTACTTAGAAGTATTTAGCAGCAGCATTAGAATGTTATCACTGTTATTATAATCATTCTTTCTTCGTAATATTATCAGTATCATTATTATAATAACCATTATCATCATTATTATATAGTCGATATGATTTTTTTATCTTTATGATTACCATCATCAATGTTATTATGATAAATATTATTATATTTATCTTCATCATCATCATCGTCGTCATAATCGTCGTCGTAACGAAGCCTGACTGATGGCCAAGCGAAACTGTCAACAAAAACAAACAATGAATAATAATTGGTTTAACACAAGGAATTATATATATCTATTGCTATTGGAAACCAGATGAAACTATTTACCCAGTGTTATTATTATTTTTATCATCATCGTTGTTACTTCATCATCGCAATTATTAACAAAGAGGAATAAAAATAAAAAAAACAAGAAGCAAAATCTACAATAAACAAGAAAACAATTTTTTTATTGAATTCAATTTAATAAAAATAAAATAGTAGGCCTACAACCAGATGAAACTATTTACCCAGTATTATTATTATTTTTATCATCATCGTTGTTACTTCATCATCGCAATTATTAACAAAGAGGAATAAAAAAAAAAAAAAACAAGAAGCAAAATCTACAATAAACAAGAAAACAATTTTTTTATTGAATTCAATTTAATAAAAATAAAATAGTAGGCCTACATCTATATTAAGAGTTTTAGGAAGTGAATTTGTGACGTATACAAATTGTGTGATGTTGAAACCAGTCCGAACTTAATGATTAATAATCGAAGTAAATATTGGTAGACATTTACAGAAATATATAATGAGAACAGATTTTAAAATTCAATGCAGATTTAATGGCTTTTATGGCTCTCTTATTAGGTTACCTTTATTAGTAATAAAAATTGTCGACTTTTCATAGCTCGTATTGTAGAGACCTCAATGCGCTTAGCATTAACCGCGGTCATTAGATCAAGCACATATGGAACACATACTAAGGCCCTTGGGACAGTTAAATGTTGCAGTTTAGCTGTAGTCAGCGCGCATGGATGTGTTTGAACCTACCAAGTAGCCTACCCACTTGTACTCCTGTGTGGAAAGAGACAACCATAGGTAAAGTGCCCGCCTAAGGACACAAGTGACTTGAACTTCGAGCGTTTCAAACCCCTGACCTAAGGTTGTTAGTCTAAGCCACAACCGATGCGCCAACCGCTTATACCATTAGGCCTTTTCATACTTATATAAAGGAAATAAATATTTGAAAACAGACGTCATTTATACATGTCCGCAATTGTCTTAATGTTAATAGACGTATAATTAGGCCTACCTTTTATATAGCATTTGCCATGTAAAACGGATGGACAGCGCTTATCATGAGCACAATTACAACTGTAGTAATGTAAAGTGATAAGTTAATTGTTTTTAAAACGCTATTGTATTTTGCAGTGGAGGATTCAACGAGAGGCCCAGCCGAAAAAAAAAAAAAAAAAAAAATTCGACCATAGTGGGCTAGGTGGTATAGATCCTCCATCTGTTAAGATACCTCACCAGGCCCCTCTATTTTGAATTCCTGGATTCGCCCCTTTATTGTGAAAAAAAAATCACAACATGCCTTATTCAATATTATCATCACCAAGCAGGAAAAATCAGCATTCCATATTTTGTTTATATACTGTATATCACAATAAGCTTCATTCAATCAATTTCCGTTATCATAATTTTTTTCTATAATTCTTATTTCAATGATTGATTGAAAAGGCATCAAGTACAAGCTTCAAGTTTTGATGCAATACAAACTTCTTAAAAAAGGGTATGACATATACAATGAAAAAAAAAGTAAAATTATGACCAAGAAAACTTGGATAGTTTTATAAATCCGCGACACAAAGTAAACAGTTCCCAAAACAATAATTATTAGCAATCGATCAATATTATACTCAACTTATTCATTTCTCATCATTATTTTTGGCTGCTTTCATGCTGAACAGTGATGCCGCATGTTTTACCGAGGCATGTTGTGAGACATGATGACAGCGGATAGTATTATCATAATATCATATCGTCACTAAACATTACTTCAGACTAACCTAGCTAATGCAGTAGAATACGCACCTTTCAGTGAAATGAGGAAAAATAATGTCATTCACACTGCCGCCAGCCCCTAATAAGGGGACGGGAATATAT